CTAAATCCTCGACCCTAAACCCTAAGTCCTAAACCCTGGCTCCCTCGCCTGAAGGTTTAGGGTTTAGGGATTTGGGTTTAGGGCTTAGGGCTTAGGGTTTATAGGGTTTAGGGCTTAGTGCTTAGGGCTTAGGGCTTGTAGGGTTTAGGGCTTAGGGTTTATAGGATGTAGGGCTTAGGGTTTATAGGGTTTAGGGCTTAGGGTTTATAGGGTTTAGGGCTTAGGGTTTATAGGGTTTAGGGCTTAGGGTTTAGGGCTTATAGGGTTTAAGTTTGATCCGGTATGGAGTTCTTAGCTTCTCAAAACCAGAAAGTTGAAAGGTCTTTCGGTGGGGGGCGTCTTATCCCAAAGGGTCCTATGTACTGTTATTGGGGAGACTTCCCTAAGTCATAGTAAGAGTTCCTAATATAGGAACCCTACATTCTACTGTATAGGTACATAGGACGCTTTGGGTATGTCTTCGTCAATTGCGAGGGTTTTGCGGTTTAGGGTTTAGGGCCCCTAATTCAGTCGTTGAAACTTCTTCGACAGAAATGTCGCACAAACCTTCCAACCTTGAACAGAGTTTCGTTGCAATTGCTACTGGTCATTCATTTCTGAGGAAGGTTTCGTTGCAATTGCTATTGGTCTTAGATTTCTGAGGAAGCTGTCGTTGTGATTGCTACTGGGCTTAGATTAGATTTCTGAGGAAGGTGCACTGCCCCAACCGCAATTTACTCTAAACAGCCCATGGGCGACACCAACCAGTTTAGGTGCACTGATTTCGCTGAGCTGCATATCGCCGTTGCAAACCAAAACACGATGCCGGTGCACTTAGGCGTAGCCGCTATAACTGTTCAAAGCAGGATGATTCCAACGATGATTGTTCGATGCATGTTCGATGTGTTTCGAAGTTTATTTGGAGCGGTGATGCCTGGGTCGTTGATTCTGTCGATGATTGGTTCGAAGAGTTTTCGATGAACCAATTATTTCAACGAATTCCAGTCGGTGGCTGGTCAGGTTTTCGCAATGCTAGTTGTGAATGTGCAATGTTGGGCTCCGAATACACCCCTAAACCCTAAACCCCAAACCCTAAACCCTAAACCCTTTTTCATTCCTCAACGCCAGATCTTGGAGACTTTGTAGTCACCCGTATAGGAACACTTGTGGGAACCCTGGTGGTAACCCTGATAGTAATCGTAGCAATCCTCATACAAGCCATCATAGGATCCCTGTTCGGATCCCCCAAACCTTAAACCCTGAACCCTAAACCCCTGAACCCTAACCCCTAAGTCCTAAACCCTAAACCCCCAAACCCCTTAACCCTGAACCCTAAACCCTAAACCGGTTCGGATCCCTAGACGTAAGAGCTTGCCAGCTCTGGGGGCCAACATCGTCGTACCTGTGGCTGTAGTTGTTGAGACGCCCCACACAAAACTAGGTCACTGCAGCTTAACAGTGTGAACCCTAAATTCTTTAGGGTTCAGGATTTAGGGTTTTAAAAGTTTAGTCTATAGTACATATCCTAAACCCTCATCCTTAAAATACGTACCGAGGATTGGTCTCCTGACTCCAAGAGCAACGTGGCCACCATGTCGGACGGTGACTTCTTCTCCTCGGAGCAGTCCTACATCTCCGAGGCCCGGAACGTCGAGGTTTAGGGTCAAGAGTTTTAGGCTTCAGGGCTCCGGGTTCAGACTAAAGCTGAATCTGCTCTGGGCTCATGGTTTTTAAATCGGTTTAGCTAGGGTCTAGGGTCTAAAGGTGTCTATATACTGTACATCCAGAATTTCCATGACATGTTAAACTGCCGTGATGCACAAGGGGCTTAGGATGCAGGATCTGCAGTCAAAGAGCGTCAGCTTGTTTTGATCGCTTTTGGGTTTTGCGTCCGGAGTTTGTGGATCTGCATCTTCAGCCTTCAATGTCAGGAAAATGCCCAGCGTTTGGACTTGCATGTTTGGGGCTGGGGCTATACGTCTTAACATGTCAAGGGTGTTGACCCCGATGATGGGGAGGCACAGATTTTCCGATCATGTGTAGGAGGAGGGGCAGCACCGCCGGCGGCCACGGCATCGCCTAGCTAATCAAAGCCGCTGCTTGCTGTTGTCATTTCGTTTGTTCGGCCTCTATTGAAAAAAGGCTCAATTAGGCTTTCGACTCTGAATCATTGAATCCTAAAACCCCCAAACTTGCCCAAAGACTCACCCCAAACGCCTAATGCGAGCCTTACCATGCCCAAAACTCTTTCTGTTGATGCATAAAGTCACCCTCAGGGCTGCAGCAGTCTTCATGACAGGCATTCCCTTTGTGTATGAAGTTTTGTGCGCTGCTTGGCTCAGGGTGGGCTACGTTGATGCCCCTTGAGTCATGTTTTCAGACGATGCAAGAACCAGCACTGTACACCCCCCAGCTGGCAGACATCTTGAAGCTTGCTCGTTTCGTGTGAAAAACCGCTCTGACTTATAGTAAGCCGCCATGGATGCTACCGAACCCCCTTATGACCAGTTGTCAGCTCCCGCTACCTCAGCTGAAGATCATCAGGGTATGAGCCCAAGTACCGTGGTCGCAGCTGCCGCTACAGATCCCTCAGTGAATGGGGTGGTGGCACTACAACGGGAAGGACAAGGGGAAGTAGGAAATGGCGCTATAGGGTCGGAGGTTGCGGTCAGAACAATGACCGTGGCTATGGCTACCTCGTCTCCGGGTGGGCAACCCGGATGGACACAGCAAGAGGCTGCAATGGTGGCACAAGCTGCTCAGGCGCGAGAGGCATACGTGGATGCTGAGGCGATGGGCTATGAGGGCTTTCAGAATGCGGCTCAGGCTTCGTGGTCAGTTACGTCTACGAGGAGGAGTGTACCGGTCTGGATGCAAAGGCTTGGGGCGTTCAGGAAATGGGTGCCAGACAACAAGCTGGTCCGATGTGGACGCCGTCTCCTATGGGAACACCGCCTCCAGCGGGGCGAAGGTCACCAGAAACCGATCCAGGCCCTCGAAGTCATGCCGAGGAAGCAAGCCAATCCACGTTGTGGACAAGAGAGCAGCAAGAGCAGCTGAGAAGAATGGAGCAGCGTGCACCGCTGCTGTATGGAAGAGCTCCTCGTCAAGAGAGGCAAGATGGGAGTTCGGGAGGAAGCACCTACGAGGCTGTTCAAGATGAGGTTCGAAAACAGCTGAGAGGAGTGGTGGAGCAGCTCGAGGAGTCAAGAAGAGAAGCTGGTGACCTAAGAAGGCAGATGGAGAGGATGCAGTCGGAGAGGATGCCTAAACTGCCGGAGGGACCGCCGGTGGCTTATGGGGCCTATCTTGCAGGCCAAGTCCCGACGATGCCAAGCAGGTCGTCATCATCCCCGGCACCACCTTTCCAAGCAGGAGCCTCTACCGGTACGGCACCACCTTTCCAAGCAGGAGCCTCTACCGGTACGGCACCACCTTTCCAAGCAGGAGCCTCTACCGCGACGGCACCACTCTTTCAAGCAGGAGCTTCTACCGGTACGGCACCACCTTTCCAATGGAGCTTCTACCGGTACGGCACCACCTTTCCAAGCAGGAGCATCTACCGCGACAGCACCATTTTTTCAAGCAGGATCTTCTATGACAACGGCTCATCAATCAGGAGATGCTACTTCGGGGGCACCACCCATACAAGCAGGAGCCTCTACCTATGTTGGAGGAGGAGGAAGCGGAACTCCAGCGGACCCAATGGCCAGGCTGCTTGAAGGCCTCGAGAAGGTCATCAAAGGTGCAAAACCTGAGGAGGTGACAAAGGCTGCGGCTGAGCTTCCCAAGTTGCCGGAGGTGACAGAGACCAGTGCGGTGGACTTTGGGGATTGGCTCTACTGCGTGGAGAATGTCATGGGAGACTTGAGCGCAACGTCTGCGGAGTGGTGGAAGCATATACTCGAGGACGCGATGGACTACTACAAGAGGTACCAAGAGGCGGATCAGTTTGGAAGACTGGCCTTGAAACCCTCGCCCGGCACTGAGGCGGCGGACACAAAATGGGCAAGGGTCGACCGACGAGCAGCGGGAGCCCTCTTGAATGCCGTGCCGGAGGAGATAAAGAAGGACTTGGTGGCATCGAGATCGCGGTCTACGCTGGACATCCTAGCGCGGTTGATGGTGTTGTATCGCCCTGGAAGTGCCACGGAGAAGTCGATGTTGTTGAGGAGAGTGGAGTTTCCCGAACCAGCCGGAAATGCTCATGAGGCTGTTACGGGGCTGCGTCAATGGGCCAGGTTCTACCAGAGGGCGAAGGACCTAGGATTGGCGACTCCGGACCCTTCAATACTCCTCAAGTCTTTAGAAGGGCTGGTTAAGCGTCCGATGGCAGAGCATGGTGACATTACGTTCCGGATGAACCTTATGAGGTACCACCTTCGCGTCGACTTCGCGCCCACTGAGACGAGTGTCATGGCGATTCACCGGGCGTACCTGGCAGAGTTTGAACAGCTGGGCTACAAACGGGGTAAACCAAAGGAAGACAATGCTGGGACACAACAGCAGCCAAGGATGCGAGCAGTGGAGGCCCCGCCTGGAACGACGCCGATGCCGAGTACCAGTCCGAAGGGATCCACAAAGCCGTGCAGGTTTTTCAGTTCAGATGAAGGATGCCGGAGAGGAAAGATGTGTCGATTCGAGCACCCAAAGTTGAGCAAGTCAGAAGGGAGAGACAGATGCTATGAGTGTGGCGGAAAGGGTCACATGGCCAATGCATGCCCTACTAAGGCTCAACAGAAGGCGGTGTCCACGGGCGACTCACCTCAGTCCTCAACTGGGGGAACAGGAGGGCGACGAGCCAACCCCAAGGGCGCGAGGACCGCCAACCCGGATACTAGCAATGCTACGGAGGACTCATCGACTACGGCGCCTACTACAACTACACCAGGGGGTGAAGCAACGGAGCAGCCGGTACAAGGTGTACCAGTGGAGCAGCTCATTGAGGACGCTCAAAAGTTGATGAAGGCCTTCATGGAGCAAAAGGGCGGGTCACCTACGATGAGGACCTTGCGTGTGGAGAGTGGTGGTTCCGATCGAGAGATGGAGGATTCGCCACAGCTGAGGGAGCTCTTGAAGAACAATGAAGAGCTGACCAAGCTTTGCAAGATGGGGCTCCTGGACTCAGGAGCTACGCACCCACTGAGGCCGCGAGTGTCGAATGACTCAGTGAACGGTGTTGGAAGCGTCAATGTCACCTTGGCGGGGGAGAACAGGGTCAAGATGGACCAGACCAAGACGGGCACCATCCTAGGTGGCAAAGACGCACAGCCTATTGTACCTTTGGGCACTTTGGTGAAATCGCTGGGATATGAGTTCGCATGGGATCGTAGAGGATGTAGGTTGAAACACCCTACGAAGAAGGAAATCAAGGTCTACACCAGGTCTACGTGTCCAGAGATAATGCAGTGCGATGCCTTGAGGTTGATCGCGGAGTTGGAGCAGGCGAAGATCGACGAGACAATGGAGTCGTTGGCCCAACTCAAGGCATCAGTCAGCGCAGCGAGGGACTACAAGGAGAAGGGCTGGAAGGACATGGTGCGGGACTATGTGGCTTCTGGCACTGTGGATGATGCAACAAGGGCGGTCTTGGCGGCACCGTTCATGCATCATGCACCTATGAATGGGCAACTGAAGATCCTACCGAAGTCCCCGGACAACGCAGACCAGGCCTGGGTGTGGATGAAGCAGTTCCCGCTCAACAGAGCAAAGAGGCGACAGCTATGGCAATCTAGGGAGTGGATAGTTCATCTGTTCTCTGGAAAAAGTGCGAGAAATGATCCTCTAAGAGATTTTCCCGGACTGCTTGAAGTGGACCTTCAGAAGGGGTGGAACCTCAACGATGAGAAGATCTACGGCGTGTTGGTGTGGGCCGCCCGAGAAGGGAGGATCAAGCATGTTTTCGGAGGGCCACCAGCAGGAACTTTTTCGCCTATGAGGTACAAGAGTGACAACCATGCGGAGCTTAGGCCTTTGAGGTCGGTGCATGAGCCGTGGGGACTCCGGGAAGGATTGACTGCCGAAGAGTCCTCCAAGGTCCACAATGAGAACGTGATGTTGTACAAGATGTTGTGGTTGTGGCTATGTGCTGAGGTCGCCAACGAGGACCGAGATGCTCCTGGGCACAAGGTGGGCTTTTGCATGGAGTACCCGGAGGATCCAAAGGAGTACCTGCCCGAGGGAAATCAGAAGAGCACATGTGTATCCGTGTGGCGTACGGAGCTTGTTCAGAAGTTTGCAAGCCACATGGAGTTGGACAAGGTGCAGTTTGAGCAAGGGGCCCTTGGACATATGATGAGAAGGCCTACGTGTTGCCTCACGAACATGGGTTTGGGAATACATGGTCTCAGAGACTCGCGAGCCTTTGTTAGTTCAGAAAGTGCAGAAGGTGACCAGACTGTTTGGCCACATGGTTTCAGGATTACATTGGCGGACGCGATCCATGAATGGGACAGAAGTGGAGGTCCGGCTCTACGCAAGGCAATGACCAAGAAGGAGTTGGAAGAGTGGAAGGCCCATGTGGAACGAGGACATTGGCCTTACAGAAGAGACTGCTCAGTGTGCTTGTCAGCCTCAGGCACGGGGAGGCCAGCACGCCGCGTTGTACACAGGGACGCCTATGTTATGAGTTTGGATATCGCCGGGCCGTTCGCTGAAAAGGGAAGAGACGAAGTTCGCGGAGGGAGATACAAGTTTGTCCTCGCGGCAACATACCTCTTTCCAAAGATTCGGGAAGTTCCTGTAGATGCTCCAATCCCTGACGAGGAAGAAGCTGAGAAGTTCCTAGAGGAGGTGGACGAAGAGCCCGGGGAACCAGAAGGAGAAGATGAACCGGAGCTCCAAGCACAGGAGGAGGAATGGAAGAAAAAGATTGCGGACCTCAGAAAGCCAATGGAGTTACAAGCCTTGAGGTTCTGTATACCCCTGGAAAGGCACACTGGCAAGGAGATTCTCGAGTGCGTCCAGGACCTGTACGTCAAGCTCAGAGCCTTAGGACTGCCGTTGACCCGAATACACAGCGACAGAGCTCGAGAATTCAGGGTGAAGCCGGTGAGAAAGTGGTGCAGGGAACGAGACATCTACCAGACGTTCACGGAAGGTCTGGCGCCAACACAGAATGCGGCAGCGGAAAGCCATGTGAAGTGGCTCAAGTCCCAGGCCCGGACCCATCTTGGGGCAGCGGAGCTGGATAAGGAGCTGTGGCCGTGTGCAATGAAGCATGCATGCCACTTGCACAATGCGAGGCAGCTGGGACACAAGTCTCCAGAAATCAAGTTTGGTTCAGTGGTTTGGGTGAAGTCCAAGAAAGACCGAGGTCCGTTTGATCCAAAGTGGGAACGAGGAAAGTACATGGGCCCAGCGGACGATGTTCGAGAAGGACATGTGGTTCGTCTGGATGATGGACTCTGGCTTCGGACATTGCATATGCGTACAGTCAGGGATGACGAAGTTGAGGATGAAGATGAAGCCGAGCATGTGATCGACCTCGTGGAGCCCACAAGGAGGATCAGAAGGAAAACCAAGCTGCCGGACCCAGAGATACACAGTTTGAGAACGGACGCAAGAAAGGCTCTGGTGAAGCGGCTACTCAAGTCAAGGATTTGGGAGCACGAAGAAGCCCGAGTAGAACGACCCCAGATGAAGGAGGGACAAGTCTGGGATGGAGCTGCGTATGTCAACTTGGGCGCCTACCAGCACGGTGGGATTACAAGCATCACCAAGGCGACGGAGAAGTTCATGGAGGAAGCCGAGATTGCTGCGCAGCTTATTGCCTTGGATCATCCGGGAAGGCCATTCACGTCTATTGCTCTGGTAAAGAATGCAACAATGCCGGTGCACAAGGACTCGTTCAACCTCAAGGAGACGATGAACCTGGTGTCGCCGGTGAGCGTGACCTCAGGAAGCAGTGTTTGGCAGGAAATGAAGCCTGGGGATGAGTTCTATGGCAACTACCATGCGATGTGGGTTAATGGAAGGGAGGTGCCGGGCCAAAAGTTCAGCATCGAAAGGCCTACAATGGTACGACCTGATCGACTACATGCACCCCTCAAGGGAGACTCAGGAGATCGTGTTGTGGCTATCGGGTACAATGTGAGCAAATGGGAGAAGCTTCTGGATCATCAGTGTGAAGATCTACAGGAGCTAGGTTTCCAGCTGCCCGCTAGGCAACCCGTCATCAAGATGATGAACGAGAACAACAGAAGGACACGACCTCCAACCCCTCCTATACCAGATTCACTACAAGCTTCGACTGCTATTCCAACGACAGGAACTACGGCGGTGTCAGGAACAAGTGGTGGAGCTCTAGATTCCTCAAATGAATCTACGTTGCAGAGGCCAACTTCGGAAGATCGGATGGAAGTGAGCTCGGCAACCCCAGGCCCTTATAGCACTCAGACTTCGTCCTCGGGCTCAGCGACGAGATCCCGAGAACATCTTCCAGAAATGGGAGGCGAAAGGTTGGATACTATGGTGGTGCCTGGTGGGAGAGTGGAGCTGCGCTTACGATGGGCTATTCGATTCTGTCCGGATCCTGGAGAACAGGATGAGGCAATTATGACATCAATGCCTCTTCTTCCCCTTGGAAATGAGGAGGAGCAACGGATGAGGAGTCGAGTGACATGGCTGTCTGAGTTTGTGGAGGAAGAAAGACAAATTCGCATCAGACAAGCAGCACGAGGAGAATACCCCACGCAACGCGAAAGGCAGCTGTTCTACAAGTTGGACGATGCCATCGACTACATGAATGAGGTTTTGGCCTTGAGTCATCAAGCTCGGGAAGAAGGAAACGTGAACCTCATGAGGCTTGCTGCAAACTCCGAAGCCACCCCAGAAGTGGAGCAGATGTTGCAGAAGCTTGCGGAGCCGATTGAGACCGTCCACAATGTGGAGCTGCAGGAGGTCAAGAACCACTTAAGTGAGTGGAAAGAAAGTATACGCAAGGAGGTGGAAGGGTTGATTTCGTCTGGAACGTTGCGACCGGTGCCGCTGACAGAGGCGAGAAAAATGGCTCAAGCCGGGGAGATTGTCTTGGTTCCGGCCAAAACAGTGCATACGATCAAACCACCAAGTCAAGACCAAGAGGGACTCTACAAGCGAAAGAGTCGCCTGGTTATCTGCGGCAACTATGTAAACAGCGATGTGGAGGTTTACACGGCTTCAGCCAATCCCCAGTCGGTGAGGGTTTCGCTCTCGTATGCAGCCCACAAGAAGTGGCATGGAGCAATCACGGATGTCAATTCAGCTTTTACCCTTACCCCAATGGAAGAATCCAAGGTCAAGTACGCGATTACGGTGCCCAAGGTGGTAGTCGACGCGGGCTATGCGCCACCGGACATCGCCTACATGGTGGACCGTGTCCTGTATGGACTTAGAGAAGCTCCGAGATTGTGGGGAAGTTTCCGAGATCGACGTGTTGGCCGGGCAAAGCTGAAGGTAGATGGCCAAGACTGTATGTTCCTCCAGATGGAAACGGACCAGGCAGTTTGGCGTTTGGTGGCGTGTGAAGATCCGATCAGAACCAAGGCCATCATGATCATCTACGTGGATGACGTGTTGATGCTTGGGCCAGAAGGTGTTGTCGGCGATATCTACAAATGGCTCACGCAGGGCACGGAAGGAGAAGAAGGCTGGAAATGCTCGCCGATGGAGTGGCTTGGACACGAGCCAGTAAGGTACCTGGGAATGGACGTGAGGAGGAAAGCAATGGGAGATATTACTAGCTTTCACATCTCGCAGGGAAGCTATGTGACGGAGCTCCTTAAAAGCTATCCCGAAGAAAGCAGACGCCCCTCAATGGTACCAGCCACCAAGGAGGTCATGCCATCAACCGACGACGATGAGGAGGAGTCAGTTCTCATGGTGATCGACCCGGAGATGGTAAAACAAGCTCAAAGGATGGCAGGGGAGCGACTGTGGCTTGTGACCAGAACGAGGCCCGACGTGGGGTTCGCCACCGCGCATGTGTGCTCTAATGCCACGAAAGATCCTCAAGCGGCCATCCGTTTGGCCAAAGTCACAATGCGGTATTTGGCAGCTACGCCAACTTTGGGCCTATGCTATGATGGTCAAGGCCTTCCAGTGGTGGCGTACTCTGATGCCAGTTTCGCTCCGCAGGGTGACAGAAGCTTTGGTTGTGTGACTACAGCGACGTATGGGGGCTTCTCAGCTTGGAGAATGACGAAGCAGGCGACTGTGGTTTTATCTGCGGCAGAAGTGGAGCTTGTGGAGTTGTTGAACGCGAGTCAACAAGCTGCAGGCCTCCAAGCATGGGTCATGGAGGTGGAGGAAAGCGATGGAACGGAACCAGTTGTTCTTCGTGTGGACAATACAGCAGCTTGTGGTTTGGCCACAACGGCACCGGGATCCTGGAAGACTCGCCACTTGAAGGTGAAGGCAAGATTCATTCGTATGGAAACGGCGGAGGGAAGGATCAAAGTGGAGCACACTCCTGGAGATGTACAAGTGGCAGATATGGGAACAAAGCCGGTGCCAGCATCTCGTTTGGAAGAGCTTAGACGTCTGTGCGGTATGTGCTCAGCAGAGGACTTTGAGGATGATGACCGTAAGGTGATTCTCAAGACCTTGGCAGGCCCGGACTACTACGACCTAATGAGGATGATTGTATGGTTGATGATGGTAGCAGGAATGCCCAAGGCCTCGAGTGCAGAGCTATACAGCAAGAAGCCGATCGAGTACGACGGCAGCGTCGAGTTCTACGTGATCATTGCAATGGCAGGCATTGCGTTGCTTGGAGTTTGGGAGCTGCTGAAATGGGTGGCGATGAGATGCTTTGGTGAGGACGAAACTACGCTGGCAAAGGCTAGGCGGCTGATGAGGATCAGAAACCAGGCATCCAAGGCACTACAAGAGGAGTTGGCGTCTATGTCAAGCAGCTCAGCGGACCCCATGTACAACGAGCCCGAAAAGTACACAAAGCCAAAGGTGGCTACGCCTACAGTGGCTGCGGAAGGGGATCCACAAGTTCCTCTTATGACCCAGATGCCTGTGACAACTACAAGAGCGACGATGAGAATGGATGACGATCCAGATTTGAGAGCGGCATTGACGTCAGCACGCAGTGGGGATTTCATAAGGCACAGGCGCGGCTTTATCATGTCGGAGTATGGGGACAAGTTGCATTTTGCGGAAAACTGTCACGGGCTCCGGCATGCTAACAAATCGAAGCTAAAGCGCGTGCAAGTATGCCACTACTGTGACAACAAGTTCCCGCTCTCCTACAAGGTCACGGATGGGAATGTGCTTCCTGAGGGATGAGAGGCATCACGATGACTTTTTACGGGGATCCCTCCAAAAGAGGAGGAGTGTTGATGCATAAAGTCACCCTCAGGGCTGCAGCAGTCTTCATGACAGGCATTCCCTTTGTGTATGAAGTTTTGTGCGCTGCTTGGCTCAGGGTGGGCTACGTTGATGCCCCTTGAGTCATGTTTTCAGACGATGCAAGAACCAGCACTGTACACCCCCCAGCTGGCAGACATCTTGAAGCTTGCTCGTTTCGTGTGAAAAACCGCTCTGACTTATAGTAAGCCGCCATGGATGCTACCGAACCCCCTTATGACCAGTTGTCAGCTCCCGCTACCTCAGCTGAAGATCATCACTTTCGCTCTCTTTCCCAGGACGTCTCCAGCGTGCGCATCGAGCTCGCCTCCCGGCAGTAGCCGTCTTCGGGATTACTATGCTGGTTTAGGGTTTAGGGTTTGGGGTTTAGGGTTTGGGGTTTGGGGGTTCAGTGGCTTGTGCCGTAGCATGTTGGATGGGCTGTTGGACCCTAGGCGTTCGGACTGATTCGGACTTGTTAATACGTGTGTGTGTGTGTGTGTGTGCGTTTTGGGGTGGTTTCGGGTCTTCGGAGGCTTTGCGTTTAGGGTTTAGGGTTTTAGGCTCCGGAACGCCCGCAACGTTCTTTCGATGGTATACGACGATCTATGAGTGGGTTTTACAAGGTTCCGAGGTCGCCAAGGGGTGTCTACGCTGTAGGGGCCTGAATATTTTCCTATCATACTATTTTGGGAGTTCCTTATTATGACTACAGTATATTGGGCCCTAAAACCCTATTCTAGTTATGAAGGCCCCTACCTTACAGAGCTTACTCAGTCGGGGTCGGGATATCTGTGGATCTGGCTATCAGAATGCATCAGTAAACCCTAAATTATTTTGGGGGTTCCTTACTATAATTATAGTATAATGGGCCTCAGAGACCCTATTCTAATTATCAAGGCCTCTATACCCCTATAAGCCAACAGATGACCCCTAAAAACCCCTAAACCGCTAAACCCTAAACCCTAAACCCTAAACCCGAAACCCTAAAGTGCAAGAAGCCTTGACTCCCCTTAGACCCGAGAGGAGCATTCGTTTAAGCTCTTGAAGAACCCTGAAAGGAAACCCTGATGTGAAACAAGCCCTACCCATAGTCTCCATTGTAGTTTAAGTATCTCTTAAGCCGCGCCTGTGCTCCAAGCCACTGAAACGGAAGCTTCCGGGGAACTATGTTCGAAGACTTCGCGCCTAAAACCGAAATCCTAACATAGGGGCCTCAATAATTAGAATACACTAGGGTTTGGAGGTATATTATGCTATCATCATAATAAGGAACCCCCAAAACCCTCTTCTAATTATTAAGGCCCTTGCATTACGCGCTGGAACCTAAGGCATCGAAGCTTGACAGTCCCTCCCAAAGAAACAGAACGCCTCCCAGGTTGGGAAGTCGGGTGAGACCCAAGTGCTCAAGGCGAAAACACCGCTGCTCTCAGGACAGGCGTTGGCTTCAATATTGGAGCCCTTGACTATCCAAAGCCTAAATCTGCAATTGAGGGTGTCGGCTTCAAGCCCTATGCCATCCTATGCCTACAGCGAACCCCAGAAAGTTGGAACATGGGTTTAGGATGATCGGTGCTAGGATCCCTTATACTTAACCTTAAGAGCATGGGGATAATGATGTTCCAACTTTCTGGCTTCTACTTTATACTTTCAAGGCCTTCCTTCGTCTTTCTTCTTGGATCCTTAGGTCGGTACAGGCGCAGGCATGTATTGGAGCCAGTGAGACGTCATCCGCAACTTTTGCGATAAACCGTAAAACCTTATAAACCCTAAACCCTAAACCCCAAACCCACCACAGGACAGCGGATCTGACCAGTCTGGCGGAGTTTGCTGAACACCTTGACTGTGGGATCGTCGTGTAGTACCTAGAGTCTCCATTGTGGTTCCTTTTTTGGTTCAACCAAATATATATAAAGGATTTTATAAGGTATCCCCAAAAAGGAACTACAATGGAGACTATAGGTTGTTGTTGGACAATGAGCTCTATAGATGATTTCTAACGTTTAGGACATGTGTTCAGTGGGTTTGGGATTTTGGATTAGCGGGTTATTGTAAGCCCTACACCCTAAACCCCAAACCCTAAACCCTAAACCCTGTAACGCAACGCCAGAAGTCTTGAGCCCCCAGTCCTGATCAAGCCGCTGCTGCTCCCTCGCCTTTCGACTACCCGTCATAGGCGTTACCTGTAGGGTTTAGGGTTTTGAGTCTCCACTGCAGTTCACTGTTGCGGTTTAACCAAGTTTGTATCCGTGATTTTGTAAGGTATCCCCTCAAAAGGAACTACAAGGGAGACGATAGTTAAGCTCAGATTTGTTGTTTACGACGTTCCACCTTTGAAAGGCCCGGGGTCGTGGGCGCACGGTTTAGGTTTAGGGTTTAAACTTAGGGTTTAGTTCGTTTAGTTACCTCTAGTCTCCATTGTAGTTCCTTTTTTTGGTTCAATCAACAATACTTGAGGATTTATAAGGTATCCCCCAAAAGGAACTACAATGGAGACTACAAGTAAGGCGTGTTGGACACGATATCTTCAGAGTGTCTGCGGCAGGAGAAATCATCGACTCCAGCTTGATGCGAGCACCTTGTTTTGCAGCAGATAGTGCCTGCCCTACCTATATAGTCTCCATTGTAGTTCCTTTTGGGGATACCGTATAAAATCCTCAATACAGTATCGGTTGAACCAAAAAAAGGAACTACAATGGAGACTATAGGTAAACCCTGAACCCTAGACCCTAAGCTCTAAAGCCTACACCCCAAAATCTGAAACCCTCCCAGCTCTCAGGGTGCAAGTCCTGACTAAAACTTCGCAAACCCTAGAATCGTATTTACATCCTGGACCCCAAAGAACCTACCTTTTCGGGTTCCTCATTATGGTTTCTTTATATAAGTCCTTAAAAAGGTAGGTTATTTGGGGTTAAGGTAGACCTTACACACCACGCCCTAAGCCCACAACCCTACCAGAAGCCTTCACTTCCCCATGCTGACTCTTCCTTCGGTAGAGAAGCACCAAGGTAGCGGAGCTCAGAAAGTTCTACGAGCAAGAGATGCAGAACACGGAGCCAGGACCTTTCCAGCGGTTTGGGATTTATTCATCCCGGGCCTCGGGTTCAAGGGACCGCAAACTCCTCCTACCTATAGTCTCCATTGTAGTTCCTTTTTTTGGTTTAACCAATTTTATATTAAGGATCCTAAAAGGTAACCCCAAAAAAGAACTACACTGGAGACTATAGGCAAGTCCCAGATTAAGCTGGCATGCGGTCTTTTGAAGGTCCACAGTGCTGCGCACAGGCTGGTCCCAAGGCCCTCGCACCGTTTAGGGACGATACTGATGATGCTCATGATGATGCTGATGCTGAAGCTGTAGAGTTGCGGTTGTACTGATTGCGAACCTTGTTCTTCTACTACGCTTGCACAGTATGGCCATGGCTATGATTACTGCATGTTTTTATCAGGTATACCAGCACATTTACTGCTGGTGTTTGTCCGAATTGTAGCTGCCGGTACTTCGTGTTTGTCTTTGTTGTTGTGGTTGTTATTGGTCTCCTTCTGCTTCTTCTTGGTGCTGGTGGTGGTGGTCGTAACTGTAACGGCGGTCCCAGTGAAGCTGTACTGTAGAGGTCCCTGATGGCTTGGGGCAGCAGCAAGGGGCGGTGACTGCAAACTCTATAGTGGTCGAAGTCGCGATCGCGATTGTCGATCACATCAAGAGATCTACCTGTAGTCTCCATTGTAGTTCCTTTTGGGGGATACCTTATAAAATCCTTCATATATAATTGGTTAAACCAAAAACAGAACTACAATGGAGACTATAGGTAAACCCCAAAACTCCAAACCCCCAAACCCTAAACCCTAAACCCGAAACTCTAAACCTGAAACCCTCCCAACTCTCATGGGAAGGCTGAGGCTTTCCTTTCAACCGGCAGCTAGAAGGAGGTTCAGGATGTAGTGTGTGTTGGGTGTATGCCTTTACACTTCACTTAAGGTTTGGGGGCTAGGGTTTATGCCCTTTGGGGCATTGTCAGTAAGTCAGACATCGGCAAGATGGCCCTAAGCTTCAGGAACACTCTTCAGCCTGCACCTCAAGGCGACCATGATGCAGCTCGGCATAGCCCAGCAGACACCTGCGCCCCAAGGCCCTCATGTAGAGGCTTGAAGAATCAGCAGAGTTGATTCTAGGTGTTTAGGGTTGAGGGTTTAGGGGCTTCCATCTCATCATCAAAGCCTGTTCCCATTATCAATGCCCCTCAGACCAACTGCGCCCGAGCTTGCAACCCTACCCACGCGTCTTGCTTCCCTTCCTGGATACCTATAGTCCCCGTTGCAGTTCGTTTTTTGGTTTAAGCAACTACATGTATATATATATATATACATATATTCATATATATATATATATGTATAGAGATACATACATACATACATACATATATATATATATATATATATTTCAAAGATCTCATAAGGTATCCCCAAAGTTCAAAACAGGAACTACACTGGAGAAGAAGATAGTCTCGAATCCTTGGCGCGAGCCAGACCGAAATGGTAAAGGCCCGACAAATAGGTTACTAAATTCATAAACCCCTATAAACTCTGAACCCTACCTGTAGCCGGAAAGACTTACCTGTTTAAGGAACTATATACAGAAACCATAATAAGGAACCCCAAAAACGTAGGTCTTTTCGGCTGGAGGTAGATATGCCTTTGCCATGTCTTTTGCACCGAAGCTTAGGAAAGTTTCGGACCCAGTTCTCTTCGGCCACTGTGTGGAGGCCGGGAGAAGGGCTGTAGACTTTTTCTATATTAGGCCAAGGTTTGGGTTTAGGGTTTAGGGTTTAGGGCCAACCTAGAGTCTCCATTGTAGTTCCTTTTTTTGGTTTAACCAATTTTCTATTAAGGATTTTATAAGGTATCCCCAACAAGGAACTACAATGGAGACTATAGGAAGGTTTGGGATTTTGGATTTTGGGGCTTCTGCTTGTAACTTGGAAACGGTATCTAAGAGGTTACAGCCGACTGAGTTCTGGCCCTGCGGATCAGGCGTTGCTTGAAGTTTGGGGTTTCGGCGTAAAGGCCCTAAAGCCTAAACCCTAAACCCGAAGCAACCCTAAACCCTAAACCTCAGGGGACTACAGTAGGGACCCTTAAAGGGACCCTTGGGGTTATATACGGGCTTTATGAGACTCTATAAGGGGTATATAAGGGTTCTATAGGGTATTTGGATTAGGGGCCCCCTTTAGGGGTCCCTCCTATTGTCCCTTAGCAACCCGAAGCATGGCTTGTGCAGGGTAGGAGCAGAGGGGAATGATGCTATTTTGGGCCAAGAAGGAGGCACTCCAACCTTCTCCAGATGCAGGTTGGCTTTGGGTTTAGGGCGCAATATAGGGGCCCTAATAATTAATAATGCTATTTTGGAAGTTCCTTATTTAAGTATAGCATAATGGATCCCAAAACCCTGTTCTAATTCTTAAGGCCCCTACATTAATACATTTCCTTGTAGGCTCCTCTTTCGATTCCTTAGGGAACCTCATAAGTATAGCACCTATAGATTAGGGTTTGGGTAAAGCGTTATTAGCCCTAACCCTAGGCCCTAAACCCGGCTGGGCTGGGCGCTCCCTAGTCAAGCTTAATATAGGGGCCTCAGAAATTAGAATAGGGTTTTGGGGTCTGTTGTACTATAATTCTACTAAGGGCCCCGCCCCCCCCCCCCCGAAATAGTATAGGTAATTCTTGAGGCCCCTATATTGAAACCTTAAACTTTAAACCCGGAACCCTAAAGCCCTAAAGCCTTAAACCCTAAACCCAAAAAACCCTAAACCCGAAACCCTAAACCCGAAAGCCCAAGACCCTAAAGCCCTAAATCCTAAACCCCTAAACCCTAAACCCTAAACCCCTAAACCCTAAACCCAAAGCCTAGGTTTTGGGACTTGTGGGCTTGCAGCCTGCGGTGTGTGGTCGAGTAGCCAGGGCTGGTGGTTGAAGAGTAGAGCAGGAAGCTCCTTGGGTTTTAGGGCTTAGGGTTTAGGGTTTAGGGTTTTAGGGCTTTAGGGCTTTAGGGTTTAGGGTTTAGGGTTTAGGGTTTAGGGTTTTAGGGTTTAGGGTATAGGGTTTTGGGGGTTAGGGTTTAGGGTTTAGGGCTTAGGGTTTAGGGTTTAGGTGGGTGTAAGGCTTAGGGTTTAGGGTTTAGGGTTTAGGAGGGTACATGGAAGCCCGGCTTACCTGTGTAACAGGCGATG